TAAACGGATATTATCCGTATCCGATTACTAAACGAATACGGATTTGGTAATTGTATATCCGATCCATTTAAAATCCGATCCGAATATGCATCCGTTTAAATAACCGTTTATTCAAATATCCGATCCGTTATATATAGTTTTTCCTAATTTTTTATGTTTATATTTTGTTTCTCTATTGATATTTAAAAATATAAAAAAATTTTATATACAAAATAAATGTGTAGACACATAAAAATATGTACAGACATATAAAAATATTTGTATATGTGTGTTGTGTATATCTTTTTATCATATGAAGTTATCGTAGAATATCATAAATCATGAAAACAAAGAAAATAATTATCCCATACCAAATTATAGTTGATTTAATAATAATTTGACTTTAATCTAATTTAAATTTAAAGTATTGTTTAATTTGATTTTAAAATTTGGAAACGGATATATCCGATATCCGACGGATGCGGATGCTGTTTTGATTTTCAGCATCCGTCAAGATCCGTATCCGAATTCGATATCCGATAAAAATAAATAGAAACGGATTTGGTAATGACACATCCGATTCAATTAATATCCGTTTACACCCCTAATTGTTATCCATTAGCTACTCTCTTCTTTTGTCAGCTTCTAATCGTAACTTGCAATTGTTATCGACTATGTGTCCTAAACCTACCCGACCCAATCCAACCCAACTAGACCCAAATTTCATTTAAATCTTAAAAAGAAAACACTATCCTGTGCTTTAAGCTTCCTTGTGCATTTATGGTAAGGTTTGGGTTATGATTTTCATTAAACTTTCAGTTTTGTACTTTTGTTTATATTTATTTATTTACATTTTTTATTTTCAGTATTCCAAATCTTTTTTTGTGGAATTCTACTTACATAAATAAAATTTAAAGTCATTTCATATTATATATTCAATTATTAATGAAATATTTTTTTAGAAAAATAGTTCTCTTACATATTCTAAAATAAATAATTCCATTAATAATTTAATATATTACTCCGTATATGAAATGACTTATATATATTCGCTTTTTTTGTTCGCCATTTGACCGCCCACCTCTCGCCATAGAAAAGGTCCTCTCGCCCGCCACTCGCCTTTCATAACCATGGAGGGATGAAAAAGTGTTTATTCTAGGAATGATGACAAGAATATCTGCCTTATTGACGTTGCTTTTTACACACACAAAAAATCACCACACATGTACACAAACAGCAAACAAACAAGAAAGAAAGGGAAAAAGTTATGACACAAAGAATCATCATCTCACACAAATGAGTGCTGGTATGGTTGTATGTATATAAGGCTGTGCAATCATCAAATGTATGACTGGCGAGAAAGTTTATATCCAGAAATAATGGCGGAAATCGCCATGGCAAGGAACGCCAAGAACTCCATGCTTATAGCCGACGCAGAAGAGTCTGTAAATATGTTGTCTACATTTTCTCTCATCCTATTCGTCAATGGCACCGCAGATGATGCTGCTGATATTAACAAGTACGCCACCGCCTGCATTTCTCCCCAAATTCCAGACACAATTACATTCACAGCCAATTGTTTATCATCATCAACAAAGGAGAATTTGGGCAGTAATGGAAATGGAAAACAACCTGATCCCCAATAAAGTCTATCATATCCCAGTTTCTTGGAGAAGAGAACTCTGTCCCGGTAGAAAGTTCATGGATTCGCCTGAAAGTTTGCAATCCAGTGTACAATGTGGACAGAACAGCAATTGCCAATACATACCTGTAATTTAGCCAAATCAAAGAAATCCCATTGTCGAATTTTGTGAGAGTAATCTTCATCTGCCATCAATGGCGGCGAAATTTAAGATCTGGGCTTTACCTGTACTCCTCGTATCGGTCGAAATCCTTCCAATCGCCGTGTTTATTGCTGGCCATGATGATCAATGCGAGCGATGAGAAAAGCAGGGCGCCGCAGCGGAAGCCCAGATAAGATTTCTTGAGGAAGTCCTCTCTTTTCCACCGCCGGAGGATGCTGCCCACCCCGGTGGCCGTCCCCGCCGCCGTCTGGCTCTCGGCATCTCGGGTGGCCGCGGCTGCGCCGGGCGGCGGTGGAATCGGGGCCGGCGGAGTCTCCCCGTGTTTGGGATCTGACATGATCTTCTGGGGATCAGAGTTCAACGAAACAATCAGCTGAATTACGTGACAAAGCGTACTGAAGTGAAAAAATGAAAATCGAGTTAGGGTAGAAGAATGGAAGGTGGATCATGGATGAGGGTGGCATCTGAGGTAGTTTAAGAGGACAAGAAATTGAGATGTGACACTCTTCGGGAAAATTGTACCCTACAATCAATCTACATTTGAACTATGATACTCCCTCCTTCCTATATCTTTCTTCTCCGTTCGCAAAATGAAAAAAAATTTCAATTTTTTTCAATCTATTTTATTTAAATATTGGTATAGAAATAAAAAATAAAATATACATATTTAAAAACTACACCAAAAGTTCAACAAAACAAGTGGTGAAGTTGGAATAGTGCTCTGGGAAGAAAATTTTAGGACGGAGGAAGTAACTCATTATGGTCCCACAAAACATAAGTATTCATTTTAGAGTAAAAGAGTATTCATTTTGAAATAATATAATACTCCCTCCGTCCATGAATATTTGACACACTTGTATTTCCGAGATAAAATATCAAGTTTTTTCAATTCATTTTATTTATATATTGGTATAGAAATAAAAAAATAAAATTTACATATCAAAAAACTACATGAAAAGTTATTCGAAATAAGAGGTGTCAAGAATATTTTATTTTATCAAATAACCAATGAAAATGTAGAAATAAACAAAAGTTATCGTGACTGCTGAAAAAGCAAACGTTGCAAATATTTTGGGACAGAGGGAGTATTCATTTTGAATCAATATAATGTTTGTTCTAAAACAATGTAATCTTCATCTTCATACCTTAGTTCATTATAAGTATAATTTTTATTTACGAATAATATAGTGTTCATTCAAAAACAATGTAGTTTTTATTCTCAAATAATATAGTTTTCATTCTGAAATAATATAATATTCATTTTGTATCAAACAAAATGTTCAAAATGTTCATTTTGAATCAACTTAAAACTCATTCTGCAACCCCCACCTGGATCAATTGCAAGGGCTGAAAGCTAGGGTTCAGCCGCCATTGTTGCCATATATTGTCGTTGGGTGAGGTAGTCGTCGCTGGTTTATTTGTAGGGTTGTCAAGTGGCTCACCCAGACCGCGCAATTCGTCGATCTGAGTCTTTCCCCCCATCTAATGTGTGATTCGTCAACCTCTGCGCGATTCGTTCGCCGGACGCTTCTCTTCGTCGCTTCCTCTTTCGCTCGCCTGATGTCGCACACCAATTATCGTCTCTTCTGAGTTCTGCTGCTAATTTTTGCCAGCTGTACCGAAAGAACCGTACAACCGGGTGTAGGATATAAATTGTGACATATATCATGACAAACTTGTAATTAAAAAATGTTTCAAAATAAATATTATATTTTTTATGAACATATACGAAGCAAGCTTCAAAATGAACATAACAGTACGAAATGAACATTTCGTTGATTCAAACCAAACATTATGTTGATTCAAAAAGAATATTCACGGAGTCAGGGCCAGGCCGGAGGATTATATGGTCCTAGACGAGACAAAAAATGAGTCTTCTCCTTACCAAATTAAATATATAAAACATTTTGTTTAAAACAACAATTAATATAACAACAATACTCATAACAAAATTATAAAATTATAATTAAGTATCGTAATAACTCCCTTAAGAAATAAAAATCTAAATTTTTTCTATTAAAAATTTATATAGATATATATATATATATATATATATATATATATATATATATATAGACACACACACACACACACATATGTATATAATTTGTGTAATTAGATTTATATTCCGAATACATTTGTCAAACTCACAAATCGAAAACTCTTGATTCATATTCGCATTTGATAAGGATTCGAATATTTATTTTGATTCGTGTTTGTATTCGGATTTGAAAAAATCGAATACGAATCACCTCAAATGATTACGAATCACGAATCGAACAAAACATATTCGATTCATTTACAACCCTATGTGTGTGTGTGTATGTATACACACACGTTAAAAAAATTAAAAATGTTGGACCCTTTGAAAATAATGGGTAATGTAACGTCCCGAAACCTGGCTTAGTATTTTTAATTAATTTATATAATTAATTAATTACTGAGCCGGTCAATACGAAGAATTATTTTCTAATTTGCGTATTTAATATGAGAGTTAAACTACGTTGTAGGACTCGCTATTCTGAATTCGATCGCGCAAACAGATTGAGAATTGGACTTACTGGGCTCAAGATATGACTGTCGAATAAGGTAATTGGGTTCAAACTTATCTTAGAGACTGTTTGTTTCAGCCTCTTAATGGTTCAGATGTCTGAATGGTTCAACACTTAATGGTTCAGACTGTTTGTTTCGTGAGCAGATGTCTGAATGGTTCAGACATTTGCCTCTGAATGGTTAAGTATTATACAGAGTCTGAATGGTTCAGACCTCTTATCTGAATTGATCAGACATTTGCCTCTGAATAGTTAAACAATATACTAGCTCTTAATGGTTCAGACCTCTTACTGGTTCAACACTTAATGGTTCAGAACTCTTACTGGTTCAGCACTTACCTATTCAGAAGTTGCCAAACAACCCCTTAATTGGTTAAGTCCAATTAATTTAATATGTAAGAACTTGTTTAGGCATTTTACATTGGTAAACTACGTAGGAGGAGAAGGAGGAGAATCTCGCAGAGCTATGGTAAACGGCGTAGGATGATGTTTTCGCACATATGAGACACACGAATGAGGAGGAACCACACGTATAAGGAGTAGTGGCTACGTGAATAACCTACGTTTAATCAAATAATTAGAAATAATTAAAAATAGTAAAAGTTAGGATATGCTTGGAAGATATTGACACTATAAATAGTTAAATTCGTATAAAAGATTAAGGAGTGCTATATGCGTAATATGGAGTGACTTAGAATGCTACGTAGGGTGATTTGTTTAGAAACATGGAAGTCCTATTTTAGAATATTTTTACTATTTTAGTCATTTCTTTGCCCAAGATGAAGAAGGGTGAAGCCCTGGTATTCCCCGTGCTGTAAATCTAATCACATCCTTCTCGAGAAGAAGCATATCGCCAGTTACTGACACTCCTCTCTGTCACTTGTGCCGGGCAAGGGGCAACATCTCCTGGTGTTATAGCCCTCTGATTACTCTGCGTGATAAAAAAAAGTTTCTGTGAGTTTTTAAGTAGCGTGAAACAACAAGTATCCCCCCGTAGAGACGCTGCGAAAATTTCTACTACAAGTATCAGTCTTCAGGTTAAAAATTTCATCTCCCTCTCATATATTTGCATTTTCATCAGTGTACCCCAGTTCTATTTCTCATACAAATTGATGTGTTTTGAAATTTATTGATTGCTTTTTAGTATGCATTTTAGACTCTTATCCAATCCCCTTACAATCAATGGAGATTTTACTCTAGGGATTTGATTGGCAGAAAAATTGGCCCCAAAAGCTGCATAATTATTTACAGTAAGATTATTGATCACAGATTTACTGAGGCTGATAAGTAAAAGCAACAATGGGAAGCAGAGGAGCATTACATTTTTCTCTGCGTCCTTCCATGGTTGTTAATATTGCCTTGGCCCGCCGGACCTATTCGACTCCGGCGAGTAGAGCACTTCCACCCCCTGATGTCCCCCGTTTGGCTGAAACGGCTCGCATTTCTCTCACTCCGTCTGAGGTATTTTTAAGCATTTCGTCATCAATGTTCAGATCCATAGGATGATTTTCAGGCAAAGCTTATGACCCAGAGTTCATAGATTGAATGGCAAGTTTATTTTCAATTTTTTTTTATTTTTTCATGTTTGCAGGCTGAGGAATTTGCTCCAAAAATACAACAAGTGATAGAGTGGTCTCCCTCTTCTCCCACTCTACATCTAAATTAACATTTTGCAGTCTTCACACCTATTTTTCTTTATTTTTCCCTTTTTTGAACGAATGTGTTTGTCAATAAACATCAAATATGAAAATATTACCAAATGTTGAGCTATGGGGAGCAGATTTGGAGAACAATAAACTCCTGAACTCTAAACTGAAACATTTGTGTGCTGTGCTGTCAATAGTCAAAATTGTTATTTTATTCCATAATTTCCCAGCATCTATTCCGTTATGTGATCTGGTAGTTTAGCTTCATTCTTAGAGTATCTTCTTTTAAAGTAGTTTTGTCTTGTCCCCAAGCTGGCTAGCTATGTTGTGTAATGTTGCTGATGATTATCTATTTCTCAGTGGCTCTTTGTGAACTAAAATTATGCTTACATTGTTGTGTGTTTCTTTTCAAACTGTACAAGTTGCTTGTGTTCCTTTTTTATAGTTATTCTTGTCGATATGCTTTATTATTATTATTATTATTATTATTATTATTATTATTATTACTATTATTATTATTATTATTATTATTGTTTCTTATGCAGGTTTGGTCAACTCCAAGCCGTGGATCTTCAAAGTATTGAGCCAGCTATAAGGGCAGGTACTTCAAGTGTTTAAGTATATATCTAGTCGGAGCATATGTTTTGTTGGTTATTTCATTGTATAGATGTATGTTGAAATGTACATGTTCCTCTACTTCACATCTTTTGACATAATACTCCATAAAAAAGCCTACATGTTTTTCCATTACAAGATACCGAGGGTGACAACTTGCGGGATGATACGCCCGAATGCTTTGAGAATAGGTACAAACCATATTAATGCTTACTTCCATTGTAACAATACTATCAATGTTATTTTTTGGCGCTTGCATGTAATATTACAAGAAACCTATCATACGTTTTCCTCGACAGGGAAGCCATTGTAGCTGCTGTTCCAAACTATGAGGAGCCTTACATCAATGTCCCCAGAGTGTTGAACAAGGAGTAATTTGCTCAGAGCATCAAAATCTAGAAAGGTTGTCCCACTCTCCTCTCATGCTCAAGTGATTATCCACTTGTCATCTCAGAGGAAAAATATGATTCCTACCTATATAGGTATGAAAGGAAATAACAAAACCTCAAGGAGAGCATACCAGCCTTGTCACTAGGGCTGACTCCACCATGGCTACTCTAGGGATCACCTTCAATTAGATCACATCGACTATCACCGGGCTTGCTAGGGGTAACCAGTGGTGGTTCATTTCCTTAGATGAGTGGCGATGGGATCAACATTCAGTTGGTTGTTCGCATTATTCTTGGCATCATTTGTCCATGTCTCGACTATGTGCTAGATGAGGCTCAGAACTATTAGCTAAGGAGCTGCACAACCACTTTTCTTGGAACAATGACATAAAAGCTGACTTTATCGAGCTTGAGAGACCGTCCAATTGCTATGTTGGTGTCAAGGCAGATGGCACCCTAAGGTTTGAATGTGAACCTCCATATAAACCACAGTGATATGGATTATGGAGTCTATTCTGCTAGAAGAGAACGCGAGCTCTAGTGACTTTATGAATGACTTATACCCTTTTTTCTTTCTCACATGTGTTCTCTCATTCTTACAAGTGCTATTTCTTCCTCTTTACTCAAATAAGTCTATGGGCATCATAAGTCGCCCCACCTGACCTTGAGGGGAGGGCTTGTTAAGTGTAGTAGTATAATGATGGCGTACTAGATTATCATTATGCCATTAACTAAAGGTCAAGTGCGGCGGGGCTAGTGCCTATGGATCTACTTGAGTGTCTAGGACAAAGACCAAGTTGCTTGTATGAGTGAGAAGACCGTTGTGAGAGATTTATTGAGGCCGTAGTCATTTGTAAAGTTGTCCAAGCTCACAAATCCTTTTCTAGCAGTAAAGAGGATTCATATGGAGCTTCATATTCGAACCTTGACGACAAACTGCCATCACCCCCAATTCCATACAAGCTCTGCAATGTGATAAAATCAACATTCATGTTCTTATTCCCAAAAGCGAGGTTATGAAGCCTCTTAACTTAATTGTTATTAGCCTCATCCAACCCATGGCTTGGAGACATTCTGTCAAGAAGAATACAAACCTACTAGAAAAATGTTGGTCACCTCACCCCTTGGCTAAGGATTTGTATGACTAGTGTTACCCCTAGCAAGCCGGTCAATAGGACCTGATTCACAATGATTTGCGATTATGATGGTGTCCGACAAAACTACCAGATCGGGATGCTCTCCCCTGAGGTTTTGCTATTTTCTCTTGTTCCTTGAGAAGCTGGACTCATATTCCTCCAATGAAATGATAAGTGGATGATCTTTTTGCCATTGTAGGTGAAGGAAAATTTGACATTCATGAGAAGGTTCATATGATGATGCAACGGTCAACGATATAGATATTTTTTCAAGCAACTATCAAGGAGATTACCCAATCTTCTTGTTACTTCTTTTCAAATCTGGCTCTAGTTAATATAATGTGATTTTCCTCTATTGAACATAAGAGTTTAGACTTGTTTGGCAACCACAGGATAGATGTTTGTGCCTTGGGAGTTGCTCCTTGTTTAGAAAGAAAAAAGAGTATTTTTTTTACTGTGGGTATGTTGCAGCTGTGGACCGAAGATAGCTTTTTTTCTAAATCAGATCTTTGAACTATTGACTGCTCTATTCCTATTTACTAAACTGAGTCTTGTTCTTCGGACTAAAGAGCATGTTGTTTGATTAGAGTCAAACATTTCATTTACCTCACAAAGTAGTGTTTGACAAAAAATTCCAATAAGGATAAAGCTACTTGTACCCCAACATTTTGTATCCCACTTTGTACCCCGCAGGTTTGCACCAACATTTTGTGTTGACGTAAAACTAATTTTTGTTATGGCACCAACACTTTGTGTCCGTGTAAATTTTTGTTAACGTACCAACATTTGTGTCGGTGTAAATCATCAAAATGTTTGTGTATAGTTGCGGTGTACAAATGAGGTACAATTTTTGGTGTAAATGTAGCATGGTCCTTCCAATAATTCCTGTCTTCCAGAACGTATACTCATTCTTATGGCCCGTTTGGTGAGCATGGGAAATACGGGTTTTGAAATCTCTTGATATCGGAGTTCTGTTTTAGGTTCCGTTTGTTAAACCAAAATTCAAACTATGCAATTAGAATTGGGGATAATAATTTCATTTTTGTTGGAATTGGTAGGGCCAAAAAAGAATTGGAGTTGGAGAATTTAATTACGGAGTACATCCAAATCAATTTCAAAGAATTTAAACTCCCAATTTAATTCCAATTATGACAATTCTGTGTACCAAATGGACCCTTAGTGTTTAGTGAAACGTAAAAAGAATTTAGTTTTGATCTTTTCGGATATCACAAATCCTCAAATGAAGGTTTTTTATATGGAGATTTGATATTCTTCTCAATTGTCGACCATTTCTGTCATTGGCTACTACTATCATCGCCAACCACCCTCGTTTTTTTATCAAGAATTAAAATATGATTTTAAACCTCTTTGAATAATTTATTTTAGAACTTAGTAGTATATGATTTATCCTAAATTTTGAAACTCGTATCATACCTCCAAAATTCACCGCAGGATCCCTACTTTAGACTCTTCATTTTTTGCTATGTGCATTGAATGTAATTTTCTAATGACCAATTACAGCTCTCTATATTTTATACTACAGTGTTTACTATGCATTTTGCATGTACACATTTATAAGTTACTCTACATATTTCTAAAATTTACTATGTTTGTCCCAATGTATTTTGCCTATTTTGATTTTTTTGAATCAAATTGAATGAATTTTAAATCTCAATTAAATAAAAATCATACATTCTTCGCCCCAAACGAAATTGTTCGCTTTAGTTTACGATGTTTGACTGAATTTATATTTAATTCAATTTATTTGAAAATTGAGGTGAAATTTAAAAATGAAAGTTATATATTTTGAAAAACTGTATCAAAAGTTCTACGACACAAGAAGTGATATGATTATATTATTTTATCAAATGAGTAACAAAAATAGATAAAAGAAAGTCAATGAAGTTTGACTCTGCGAGTAGGAAATAAATATTTTAAATTAGGATAGAGGGAGTAATATTTATTACTTCTTCTGTTCCAAAATATTTGTCACACTACGTAAAATAAGCAAAGTTTCAAATATTTTCAATTCATTTTATTTTAAGATTGGTAGAGAAAAAAATTAAAATTTACATATTAAACTATGTCAAAAGTTCTTCCAAATAAGAGGTGACAAAAATTTTTTATTTTATCAAATAATCGATGAAAACATTTAAATAAACAAAATTCTCCGTGATTTTTGAATAGAGAATTGTGTCATTTTTTAATACTGAAGGAGTAGTATAAAAAACTTTTCATTAAATTTATGATTTTTAAAGTTTATATCATTACATTAACAAGTAATACAAATTTAAAATAATGAAATTCATCATGTTTGACTAAAAATGTAAAAACATTACAAAAATACTGAGAAGCACTGAGTATTTCTTTATACATATTTAGTGAAGAAATTAGCTCAAATAAGAATAAAGTATACCCCGTAACATTTATCCTCAAAATATGTGTGTCATGTTCACTAAAATAGGAATATGCATTGTGAATTATCACACTATATATTGGCATCTCACTCTACTTTTTGAAATTATATATTGGCATCGTACTTTAAAGATAAAAATTTTGAGCTCATATTTTGATTTTTTTATGTTTGATTCATAATTTAGTTTTTTTCTTTAGAACATGTACATTATGAAATTGGTATGCACATAATAAGTGCGCAATGTTCATTTTGTTATTTTTTTTCGTTTTGTTTGTTAATAACATTTCTAATTCGTGAAAGGATAAAAATGAAAATTATGAAATTGAAAAAAAATGTGCATCATGATTTTTTCATATACTCAGAATATGCATATTAGATATTACTCCCGTATATAATTAATATATTTGCATTTATCAGTTATATAGGGTCTGTTTGGAATAGCATTAGAGATAAGCATTTTGAAAATATTATCTACGAACATCGTTTAGCGTAGAATTTTCAAAATAATCTATACTATTAAAATTTTATCCAAAACACCGACGCTAATCTCTAGCACTATTCCCAAACAGTCCCATGATGTTGATTCAATGTAAGCGGAAGTATATACTCCGTACGACGAAGAAGTAAATATATATTACCAAAAAATCACCGTAAATAGACATCAAACATGCAAAAAGTACCAAAATATAAGTTCTATTTTATTTCAAAATAAGAGTTTGCATGGTAGTAATTTGGCACTACATATGGATATTTCACAATACTTTACATTAATTATCTTCTTTATTTCTTTATTGTATAGTTACTATAATTTTTCTCCTACTTGAAATGGAATTCCCATCTGTAATCTCTATATATATGGAGGTATCTTTCATTATTAATAAGACCAATTATTATCAAATTGTATCATGGTATCGGAGCTAAGGTTCTAAAAAATCTAGCCTTTCCTTTTTCGATCGAGCATATCGTCGGTCTTTGTTCACAACGACCGACCGTCCGATAACATGACATCACTGACTGCTCTCGACGAGCGTGCCTAACAGCCACCATGCATTATCCATCTCTCTCTCCAAAACAATCTATTATCTCTCCCTTTCAAAAAAATCATGTGCGTGATCGAAGAACTTAAAAGTTACATTTGTCTATGTTTCTTTTAAAGATCGAGAAAATGAAAAACGATAGAGAAACAAATAACGCACCAAAAGGAGAAAAAGAACTTCTCGCCCTCGCTCCAATCGCCAACACTCTCACCGGAAAAAACTCAGCAAACGTAAGCTCAAGTTCATTCGTCATGCAACGAAGATCTGACTCTCTACTTCTAGGATAGAGGTTATCTTCACAAAAACTACTTCATCGGCTCAATTATAGTACTTGTGCTCCAAGTTTCTCTTCGTTTCCGATGATCTACTTGTGGGGGAATATTAGGAATGATACAGCTATTAGGAAAAAGAATGTTATATATATATATATATATATATATATATATATATATATATATGTATGTATGTATGTATGTATGTATGTATGTATGTATGTATATATATATATATGCATATATATGTGTGTGTGTGTGTGTGTGTGTATACATACAAATATATATATACATATATACATACATATATATATATATATATACATATTATATATATATATATATATACATATTATATATATATATATATATATATATATATATGTATGTATGTATGTATGTATGTATGTATACACACACACACACATAAATGCTTAGAGAGAGAGACATGCTGGAATCCTTTGGATTTCTGGTTAGTTCTCCGGTAATACATCATGATAGATCATTCAGTACAAATCCATATATACATAACTTACAAATTCTACAACCACAAGCTAAGAAACTTTTCAGCCAAATAATCCGTGAAGACGGGAGTACAGTCTTGGGGAAGATAGAGGGATCATTTAATGGTATGCCGTCAGCCACCTTCACCCTCGATGAAGAAAGAAAGCTTGGGAGAAAGCTGCAGTTTGCCCTGGTTGGAAGAGGAGACAAATACATCAATCTCTCCATCGTCAAAAGCTTTCTTGTAGGGACTGGGTTCCAGGGGGCTTCAAGTTACGTAGACTGCTCAACAATGATGTGTTATCTACTTCTTTTCTACAAAGAGGAGGAGTACCTGAGGTTTATCTTAGAGGTACTTAGGCTATCAATAATATTAAGTTTTATGTATCCAAATGGTCCCCTAATTATAATCCCCATCAAGATTGCTCTATTGTTCCTTTATGGACTACTATCAGCAACCTTCCCACCCATTTCATAAACCCAGAGGCCTTATAAACCATTGCTAGTACCATTGGTCAGCCTTATCTCATGGATTTTTGAACAACTAACCTTATCCGAACCAATGAGGCCAGGTGTTGTATTGAAACAGACATTGGTAAACCTCTCCCTTCTCATATTCATATTAGAATTGGACTAAGAGATTTAGTTCTACCATACAGGTTTGAAAATGTCCCCGGTTACTGTCATCAGTGTCATAAGCTTGGTCCTGGTAATAATTTTTGCAAGCTTCATGGACTTTTCCAGATACCAGTTTCTAATACAGGCAAATCTGGTTTTGACCAAGCTAATGGTACTGGAGGGTGGACTCTGGTTAAAAGTAAAAAGTTAACCCAGAAGAAGGCTTCGATTTGTAGGGGGATACCAAACTTAATAGGTTTAAGAGGAGTGATGGCTGGATATTATATGCGAAATCTAAAAAGGGCCAGGCAACACACTCACTCTTAACTCACAAGGTAACTATGGAGGAAGGCTGGACATTGGGTAAATGTATGAGGGGCAGACTAATTCTTCTAAAGTTACTATGAGGGATGGATAGACATTGGGAAAGGACATTCCCAAGAGGGGCCAGGCTATATCCTTGGTGGGCTCTTGAGGGGATGACTGGACATTGGGATCAAACTTAACCAAGAGGATCCTGGCCACATCCACTAAATCCAAACAGATATGAGTTCCTATTTGCAAATCAATAACCATTGAGCAGATGGAAAAAAAGGAATCTGGGACCCCAGGTCCAGAAACAACAAGCCAAATGAAAGGGGATTTAGCTGGAGTACCTGTCACTCCTAATCAATCATGTGATGAGGAAAATAATTTAATTACAATCCACTC